CCCCCTTTTTCACCGTTTTCAGTTTTTTTTTACATTTCTGTAAAGCACATATATACTCAGACCTGCTAATTCAATCAATTCTGCGTTAATATTCATCAGTTTTGGATCTAAGTACTATTTGATGTGTTTCCAAGTTCGCCAAAAGAAAATTGAATATTTACACAGAAAATCATGAGGAACACCTTCTATCAAAAGACGGAAAAAATAACATTTTGAGAGGGCAACTTATAAATGTTAATATTTAAAAAACATCTCTAAAGATCACTTGTATCGAATCTTATGTCAAAATTCCGATTTTGGAACTTTTAAAAGGTCAAGGTCACTGTTATTTATCAGCTGATTGAAAATTGTAAATGTGCACCCTATAAGTACAAATGTCAATCTCAAACCATATTTGGCAATAAAATTATCAAATTAGTCCTAAATATAGAAACTATAGTTATAATTCTTTGAATTATTTGAATTTATTTTGCTATAAACGCAAATATGTAAGGGTGGCCAGCTGTCTAAATTCTACGTTTTCCTTGAAATTTTAGATTTGACCTTTGACCCAAATTTAAGAAAATCGTGACCACTGTAGACAACCACGACATCAATATTTCGACGAGGCTTGTTCTCCTCTTTCCAATTATATAAAATATAGCCGTGTGTTATTCCGTTAACCCAAATCGATAAAATTTGTTGACTGTGCACCCTACTTTTACATTTGATCTCAAAATAATTTGTCGTAGTAAATTCCATTGAGCACAAAACATATCGAAACGAAATTTAAATCACATGGATATTTAAAAATATTTTAATAAATTTGAAAGAAAAAACAATAATTATCTAGTTTGACTTTGAAACACGGAGTTAATACTTTAAATTACATTGCGCACAAAATATAATTAATGTTCCTGGGAATGAGAAACTCTTTCTGACTCTAAATGTATGAAACAGTTTACACTAGACATTAAACAACTAGCAATCAATCAATTAAAACATATCCAAGGGATCATTATTATCCATGTACATGTATGTAAATGCCGGGTACCATATAAATATACTCGTAAGTCATGAACATTAAAGTATAACTTGCTATCAATTTTTGTAGTAAGATTTTTGTGTGAAGAGAGCACTTCAGGACACATTATGATCATCGTATACACACATAGATAAAGTATTTGAAACACTTTTAAGCTGTTTGCATCAGTCTCCCTTTTCTTAACAATTAGGACACGTGCCACTGAATATACAACTAGTCAACCATGAACACTGTGCGGAACACATTTGCCATTCCAAAATTAGGAAATCTGACTTTGCTGTTTTACAAAATATCAAAAATAAAAAAATTCCCCATATGTCCCAACATGTCACTGTTGTCACCACAGCTGATGAAAAGTACATTTCCCATGGGAAATTTAAAAATTCCCATAGAAATATTAGAAGTTCTTATGGGAAAATCTAAAATTCCTATCGGAAAAAGTACTTTTCCAATGGGAATTTTAAAGTTTCCATCGGAACTATACAGTTCCCACGGAAAAATAAGAATACAAAAGCTTTCCATGGGAATTTAACTTCTCTGATTGGAACAGTTTATCTTCCCATCGGAACAATTTTTCGTTTACCTTATTTTTTTTTTTTTTTTTTGTTTAAACACATTTTATTTCCAAAAGTGGCAAATGTTGATTGAACACAAGTTATAACATCTCTCCTCATACAAATACAAACACAAAATACATAAGATAATGACGAAACACAAAATAGGAATGCATGTAATACAAACTATAAACCAAAACTAAAATGCAATATAATACTGTTGTAATCTGAACTGGCGTGAAGTGTGAGTAAGTAGGAATCCAGAATTTTATATAAAATTGTAGCATAATAATTAGGTTATTACTCTAAAATAAAAATAAAATAGTCATAGTTTCACAGCTTCACCTATATATACATATATATGTGCGTGTTATATTTTTGAGCTTTAAAACATAATGTCATCTATGATTGATTGATAATTACCTAATTTCCAGTGGCAACTATTTCATGCATGTTCAGTACGAATGTATACGTTTGTTGATTGCTTCTGTTTAATTACTTCTAACTGTTACACACTATATGAGTACACCTGTCTACTGATAAAGACTTACTTTGGTATCAAAATGTATTCTAGATATTGTTGTTGTAGGGACTGTCATATTGATGTACACCCAATATATTCTTAAATTCACACTGTATGTGAACAGTAATAAAAGACAAATTCCGAGCAATAGTTGACTTATGAGGCACTGTATAGACACATTCTGAACTTTTTAAAATGTTATATATAAAAATAAGAATAAAAGGTATCATCGTGAAGGAAGAATCTCTCCACAAGAGACCAAAGGCCGTTTTTCTTTTTTCTTTATATCTTTTATCCATTATTCTCTATTCATTATGTAGTAGCACCTCTATTTTTTTGGGGTACATTTTTCTTTATTCTTTATATTCTTACATTCATATTCTCTTTTCTGCAAACCCACATCCACACCCTCTCAAATTTCTTGCATTTTTGTCTTGGGTAACATATTTCGGAATTTTAAAAACTTTTCAATTTTTGTTAAAACAAAAATGTCCTGAACAGTTTTAATATTATATATATTTTTTTATTTATCTTATATATATGTCATAGGAAGTTTTTTGCAATGATTCATATTGGGTCAAAATCTAAATCAAGTTAAAGTTTTTATGAAGTATTTGCGATATTTATTATGGGCCTGATTTAATGGGTCTCATTTAACAGCTTTATATACTTAATGATCATGTAATCGAATATACATAAAACAAATATAAATTGAAAAGTGAATGAATGAAGTTTATTCTCATAAATCTACGTAGCATGGTCACAGAGAAAATTTATATTGACAATAATAAAATAAATTTGACGTTAGCGATTCATTCAGCAAGATATATATACAGTTTTGAAATAGTGGAACCCGGTTTTTACTGAGAGCGGGGATTGCCAGTTTAAAGGTTTTTTTTTCAATAGTCGCTTCCGACGTTAAAACTAGATAAAAACAAATACGCAATTCCGACCACAGATTTCTTTATATTGTAATTTATAGCCATTTAACTTTCAAACATATTTCATTTTGGGCAATTAAACAAAGAAGAAGTATTTTTGACGGAAAGAAATCAATATCAGTGAGTAATAGATCAATGTACTGAAAATTATAGCCCAAGCGCGAATGAAGGGAGACAAGCCTTTAGTTATAAATCTGCACAAACTATTTTATGTCAAAATCGATAGATTTACCTGGCACTGAACACTACTGAAAATTCCCAAACGACTATTTTATCGATGTACTGATTAGTACGAAAACGTTCTTGACGCTACTGAATTGAATGCAAGGCGTTTTCTCTTAATTACCTGAGTCAGTACTGAAAAGTACTGGATCTCCTGCACGGACCAGGGTACTGAACACGTACTGAATAACTTAAAAAGATCTTAAAATTTTTTCTTGTGGTAATTTCAGGCATTTAGGAGTTGTTCAGTTAAAAATGACCGTTTCAGTAATAAAAACAGTTATGAGTGTTTATTCCGTCGGTGAACATGGACCTTTTTCTTATCGTGTATCACAGATTTATATTGTTTAGCTACCTGCGCAAGTTTCCAATATACAATATAATATTGGTAATCATATATCTGCATAAAAGCGTAGATTGGCAGAGACAATTTGTCGTTATTTCCTTCCTTAAGACAAGGAACATCAGCGTGTGTAGCAGACTTGAACAATTATTCAGACACTGTAATTACGCATATATATCATTGATTTCTTACCTTTAAATCAAGGAAGTTTAAACTTGCCATAGCTGGTAAAAAAATGAGAGATATGTATATATAAAAATATATGAGTGATAAAAAGCATCACTTCTTCATTGACATTGTATATCTAATCTAGCTCAGATAGACGTATAGCAGGCAACATGCACAAACTCAGGCAAATTGTGATTTATTTTATGTTTTCACTTTTTGAAGTTTCTGCAGGTAAGAAACTTGTTTTTCTTACTTACTGACCATTTATGAATTGTATGTCGAAACTTAGTAAACAATTTGAAAAGCTGTATTAAGTCACATTCGTTTTGCTTAACAACAACTTAATCATGTTAATATAGAAAGACATGTTGTTCTTTTACTGTGCTATCTATACAAATATTCCTTGTGATTAAGATTATAACACATTGTTTATTGCTGTAACTCTATTTTTGAAATTTTTATTTTTATGTCGGTTTGTTACACATTGTTGTCAATATTATATACGACTGTCATACAAGTGAGAGGTTTAGCTTGCTATAAAACCAGGTTTAAAAAAATAAAATCACAAAAGTACTGAACTCCGAGTAAAATTCAAAACGGTAAGTCCCTAATCAAATGGCAAAATCAAAAGCTCAAACACATCAAACGAATGGACAACAACTGTCATATTCTTGGCTTGGTACAGGGATTTTTTTTGTAGAAATGGTACAATGTAGATTAAACCTGGTTTTAAAGCTAGATAAACTTCTCACTTGTATGACAGTTGCATACAATTCCATTATATTGACAACGATGTGTGAACAAAACAAACAGATATAATAGATAAAAATGTAAAAAAAATAGGGGTACATCAGTCCACATTGTGTTATTATCTTAATCACTATAAAAAAATATGTAAACAAACATTTACCTTAGCACAAAAAAAACAATGATGGGATGTATAAGTCGATTTTTACCGGAATATTTATTTGAAACAGTTGTTTCATGTGCAGTATTAATAGGAAAACATGCATTGACTCGAAATTATTATTGTATTTCTTCTGGGCACAAACCTGTATATATGTTCGGCATGCAACGCCTCACATTCTAAATGATCCTTAAACTTAGTTGAATATGTGACACAATGTATAGCTATTTTGTGTATGAAATGGGATGACAGACCTTTTCGTTTTCTAAGAGCTTTTCTATAATATATTTAGAATTAATAATCTACATGTCTTTCCAGGAATGACAGAATTTCCATGTAAGTTTCCTTGTCCGTGGCACAATAAAACATTTGAGTTTTACAGTTCAGTTAAGACTACAAGAACATGGAGGTTTAACGCTGATGGCCAAACACTCTTCACTAGGGATTCGATGGACATCGGTCAATTTATCCGCAAATGTTATCAAATTACAGAACGATTCATTATTCTTAGGTATGTTAATGGTAAAATTTAATATACAAGGTAATTTCATATCAAGATTAATTTGAGTAAAATATGTTTTCAATTATTAATTTATAAATTAAGAATGATTACCTGATATAACCTAATTGATTGATTGGTGTTTTACATCACTTTCAACACTATTGTTCTGTTTCTTGGTGGTCAGTTTTTATTGTTAGAGGAAGCCGGAGTGTTCATAAAATCATCGATCTATGGGTGAAAATCTACAAATCCTAGTTAAGTAAGATTGGAATCAAGTGCATCTGCCCCGTGCGGGATTCGAACTCACAACCTCACTGTTGACTTTCTAGTGATACAAACACTTATGGATAATTATGTAACATAAAGATAATTTAATTTTCTGATGACAAAAAAGGTGTGCAGCGTATTTATAGTGTTACATCTAAGTTGCGTTCGGTAAGGATAAGTTATACAAAGGGGAAAAGGCATAACTAGAACATGGTTTAGTAGACAAAATGGAAATAGACAGATACCATTTAATAGAAATAGACAGAAAGAATTTTAAAACCGGAATTTAGAAGAAAAGGAGAATACCGTTGATCTAAAGTCATAAGTCGATAAGGCAAAAACCAATCCGGGTAACAAGCTAACACCAAGGGAAACGCATCAACTATAAGAGGATAACAACGAGGAAAAAAACACTGCAGTAAAAACTAAAATCAATCATACATGATTCAAGATTGTAAGCGTCCTAGGTTCAATGCATCACCCGGTTGGTGAAGGTTAATGCAATGGGTTCTCGTTTTTACAAAGTGTTTAATGTATTTTCACTTTAATGACAAAGTGTGGACAGATGGACGAAAAGATAGGTTTATAATGCTCAACATTACGAACCAGACTATAAAATCAAATCAGTATAAGTGCAGAAAGTTGATGAACAACGGTTATGTCAAAGAACGTCTCGTCCGTTTTCTAAAAAACTTCATCGAAAGATACCAAGACCTTGTTGATAAATATTCCGTATCAACTTCAAAAATAATACATATAGTCTTGAAGTATAGATTCGATGTACTAACGTTGTTTATCATCTTGATTACATGTTATAGTGTTCATTTGTCTTTGTAAATTATTAACCTTTACCGTTTTTCCATTTTTGGTAATATCCTTTAGGCTTAGCTGGGAACTTATGCATCCCGCTAATATGTGCTGTTGTTGTGCTGTTGTCATTTGTGTATTCTGTCTTTCAATATTGGTTATGTGCTTTTTCTATATGCCATTTTTTTTTGTTGATATATTTTTTTGTCTTAATAGTGATTAAGATTATAACACAGTGTTGACTGTTGTACCCTTCAAATATTTTTGACTTTTGTACCTATTATGTCTGTGTTTTGTTCACTCATTCTTGTCAATATAATGAAATTGTATGCGACTGTCATACAAGTGAGAGGTTTAACCAGCTTTAAACATATTTTCTACATAAGGATATGCCTGTACCAAGTCAGGAATATGACAGTTGTTTTCCATGCTTTTGATGTGTTTGAGCTGTTGATTTTGCAATTTGAAAAGGAATGGTATTTATGTTATTTTACTTTTTCAGTAGATTATGATTAAGCAAAAAATGATAATTGTAATTAATGTAGAATACAAGAACTAAGTTAAAAGAAACAATGAAGAAGAACTGACAAAATGACATCTTATGCTATGCCTGCACCACCACAATGCACATTGATGTGCTGATATCTAGAGTATATTGTAATTATGAATATAGTATGTGTTTTCAGCCGTGAATCATCTTCACTGGTGGTACAATGGATAAATCTGTGGTAGAGTTGTCACTTATTTAGACGAACCTATTGGTATACATATATTTAAACACCATACGATGGGGCAGAGGGCATGTTACTGTTGAGAAATGGGTAGTTTAAATCATCAGCTTCCAATATAAAGTCGTCCATCTAAGTCAATATCGAAGAAAAAATTAAAATATGAAGCAGATCTTTTACTATCCATAGTATAATCGTTGAAAACTACGAAATACTCCGTAAACCGTGCATAATTTTCCGCACATACAAAATTGACGAAATCTTCGTGAATTAGGTCCCAGAAATGCGTCGAGTGATTAGAAGTTTCTGTTCAATGTTTAAAACTTTGATGTTGCTTTAAGGTATTGATTATTAAGTTTATTTTTATTTCAATTCCATATTTGTATTATCTGAGACTCACATTATCGATTTTTCCAAGGCGTATTCTATTGATTTGATTTTTTTTCACACTGATCTGTAAAAAATATATTGCTTATTATTAAGTGGAAAAACCTTTTCTTTTGTTCTTATTAGGTCTTTCCATTTCATTTTTCTGTGGAAAGACCTATTGTATTTGTTCTGATTATTATTTTATTTCAAAACCTGTTCTGTGGTTCGCAAGATGTCGCTTAGATTTTTTGCATATGATATTGAACAGCTTTTGCACTTTTGAGACTGACCCTGCTCAGTCGAAGACTTTTTATTGTAAGAGTTATCTCCCCAACACTGTTTTCTTTGTTATGATATCTCCTCCGTGAAAGAAAGCAACAAATTTATTTTACCAAAATGCTCGCTATATCCTTATGATTTTTTGTCCAATTTTGACTCCATATGAGAGTTATTTCCCCTAATGCATTTGAAATAAGTGATATGCATTTGTAACTGGTAAACCATAAGTGATAGAGACATATGGTCTGTTGATTTGAGGTCCTTGGTACAAAGAATAGAAAACAAGGTCAAGGTCAAAGGTCAAGGTCAAATTCTAAATTTTTCCTTTTTCCTTGATCTTCTCTGTCACTTTTAAAGATATTTATAAAAGAACTAGTAAAAAATGTTTGCCTTATTGTGATTGAGATATGATACATTTGGTCCGAAACATTCCAATAACATCTTATAAGAGTTATTGGACCTGAAATGATTCAATTTAAGGTTAATTGATTATCGTTCCAACTTGGTAATTGATAACGCCATAGGGTCTTTTGCAAACTGTTGGTTGACATGTGACCTTGAACAATATAAACCGGAAGTGACCTAGAGTTATCCATTAGTAGCTATTTTTGCACTTTTTTAATGGAAAAATACCTAGAAACTATATATTTTTTAAACATGCATACATAAACCTATCATTTGAGACCGAAAGTTTATTTTTACTAAACCGGAAGTACCTTATTTCTCCCTTATTACAGGCAAAAGTATATAGAAACCATATAATTTTGGAATCAATGTAAATAAAACTACCGGAAGCTGACAATTATCTCCCTTATTTCATGCAAAAATATATAGAAATATTTATTTATTCAATCAGTATGAAAAAACCTATGCTTTGACGCCAATAATAGCTTTGAGTAAATTGAAAGTAGCTTCTCGTCAATAATTTATAAAATTGATGTTGAAAGACATTCAATTGTTCTCTGAACAATTGGTTTTTAATTACTAATTTTTTTCTTCCGCCTAATTTGTTTTCTAAGCAGTATTATTGTTAAAAAATATGTCGATAAAAATATTTGGTATATCATATCGAACAGTTTATACGTTTTTTACAACTGACACCGCTTAATCGAACACTTTTCTTTAAAGAGCTAAATAAAAAAAATTTAAACAAACATTTTGTTTAATATTCCTTCACAACCGTAAAAAAAAACAACAAATTTATTTCACCAAAATGATCGTTACAATTTTGAACGTCAGGATTCTGATGATCGTTTGGACCGAAGCTATCCGAATATTCCATATGAGAGTTATTTCCCCTTATGTATTTGATGTACATAATATGCTGTTATAATTGGTCAACCAAAAGTGAAAGAGATCTAGAGACTTTTGATTTAAGGTCATTGATCTTAACAAAAAAGAAAAAGAATAAGGTCAAGTCAAATGTCAAGGTCGACGTCATGTTCTAGATTTGGATTTTTACTTTTATGACTTCCATTAAAAACCGTATAAGATATCGATAAAATATTTTTACTTAATTGTTAGTTGTGACATGTTTGTTGAAATGGTAAGTTGACATTAAATTGGAGATTTCTTCCCTCTTATATTTGAAATTACGTGTATGTTGATATAATGCAGTCACCATATATAATAAAGACCTAGAGATCCTGGGTTAATGACTCTGAAATTAAATTCAGGGTCAAAGTTTGATTTGACGTTATATTATGACCTTTACTGTAACTTCTTATTGTATCATTACATGTATAAAGCCATTGAACATATTACATAAGGTTGCACGTAATGTGACATTGAAAAATCCAACCGGAAATTGCAATTTTTGAACTTATTTAATGTTAAAGTGTATAGACCTATATATGTTTGGAATCAGTGTCAACTAAACCAATAAATGATACTGGAAGTGACAAACAAGACATAACAAATTGTCTCTCTTATATCAAACAAAAGTGTATAGAAACCATTTTTTTTTAATCAGCATGCAATAAGCTATCATATGACACTACAAATGACGTTCATATCGAATTATATTGTTTGCGGTTGAAAGACTTTATTTGTTTTCTCAACAATTTTACTTTTTATTAATATTTTTATCGTTGTTGTCATGATGCATGTTTGTCTTTTTTTATTGTATTGCTTCGTGGTAAATCTAAATGCCTTTTTATAAAATCGATCTCAAAGGAGGCGACAATTATGTAACAATGTAACCTGTTGTTATTAGCCATTCAATAGTTGAGTTGATTTTTGTTTTGTTTTCATAGATATGGGAAGATGTGGTATGAGTGTCAATGAGACAACTCTCCATCCAAGTTACAATGTTTTTGTTAGAATCAAATTCATTTTATGCATGCAATTTAGGTTAAAAGTAAAAAATATAAAATAAAATATGAAAAAATGTACATGAGGTAAAGGCAAGTAAGGTAATTCATGCTTGAAACAAGATAAAGTAATGTTATTTCATTTTTTCCAGGGATGGTGATAGTCAGTACTTTAGATGCTACCCGATTTATTATAATCCTGAAATTCCTCTAGAGTTTATACTGGGAATCGGGGGTAAGTTTATATGGTGTTGATCTCATTATTATTGTATCATATTCTATACTGTCATAGTTGAGTACTTGGCATATTCGTATGATACTGTGGATTCATTTATTTTTGTGTGTATCAAATTTCGTGGATTGAGGAAATTTGATTTCGTGGTTTTACCAATCTCTGCATACAAAGCCTATGCGAAATCTGTAATTCGTTGAACATTCGAATTCATGGTTCACTCGTACCTACGAAAACCCACGAAAATTGGTATCAAACGAATAATAAGGAATCCACAGTACATGTTTATATCAATAGTTTATCCAAAACATAATTATTCTGGAAAGATTTTTCTAAACATGAAGAACATAAAAGTATTTCTCAAAGTAATTAAATATTTGACAATTATATGTACTCAACTATCAATAATAACATCTTTTACAAATATTAAAATAATGGATGATTTTTAAAATTTTACAGAACAAAATTTTTATGCGATGCGTTATTCCATAGTATGAATTATTTGCATAGTTCATTTTTGTTAATTTATTTTTTTTTACATTGTCATATCAACAAATGAAATTCAATACTAGATTCGTACTTGCTTTAGCAACTAGACGGATGCCTTATGTGGAGCAGGAAATTTTCAACCTTCCGGATCACGCAATTTCAAACCAGATTTTGAAGTGGTTCGTGCTGCTCATGATAAGTCTCGTTTTTTAATAAGTATTTATCATGGCGTTGTTAATTTTTCTTTAACTTGGGCGTTTTGAATGTCCCCTTGGTCTCTTTTGCCTCTTTTTATGTAAGCATTAAACTATAAAAATCGATTGAAAAAGGATTAACTCATCAGATGGATACAAATAAAAAAACATCTAACATTGTCTAACAAAAACATCAAGATAACGGTTAGTATTGTTGAATTTATTAATTAAACGAAATTTAGACGATTCTTTACTGAGTTTGGCCATAAACTGTGATTCAAAAGAGTAAAGGAACAAGTCTTCATTTAGAGGGGCACACTTTGTGCCCATATGAATACCTACAATCTGTCAATAAACTTTATTGCCGAAACGTACATAAATGTTGTCAAGGAGAAAATTAATCGTCTGATCACACCTCCAATAAGTATATCTATCACATTTAACTTTAGAATAATGTATGTTCGAATTTATTTTGTAGAAACCCTTCGGCCATAAAACGTTCGCTATATCATGAAAAACATGTTCTTAATAAAAAAAAACCATTTGTACACTTTTTAGGTATTTTTAGTTCTATCAACCAGACAGGAGAATTTACAGATTTATGTGAATTTTGTAAAGAGCCGAGTTATACATGGATTCTTTCTGGTAAGAACATTTTATGTGTATACTCTTTTTATCTTGTTTTTTACCTTTGATCAGATGTTCTGAATCTTCTGATTTAATCCATATGGTGCTTTTAATATTTTACCCATTAACTCTTTTGTTCTTAATTTTATTACATAAACCATATTTGAAAATCTTTTTTTTCCATAGCTGTTGAAAGAAAATGTCAACCTAATGAACAATTTAGCAAAAATGGTTTCCGGATTTTAAGTACGAATAAAGATTAATTCGATCAAGTTTTAATTGCTTATATCTTAAAAACAAGGCATGGACCTTGCATGTTTTGGCTGTTTGGTTCTCTTATATATTATCAATTTATAATGATCTTAAAAACGCTTGCTGTTTTAACAGAATGAATTACACATTTCTACAAGACACTGTCGTTTATGATGGATTTGTTATGAATTTCTTATCATGATTTCAAAAAAAAAATCCAGAAAATTGCAAAAGTTATACGACAGAAAGTCCATTCGTAAATTATCTATGTAGATGGTTACTGAGATCATTTTCATTTTGAAGCATCTAAGATCAACCAAATATTTTGGTGATCTTCTTTTTTCTATGCTGTGTTTTGATTATTGTTGTTTGTTTCTTATTATTTTCCGTTACTTTAGTGTTTATGTGTAATGTATTGTTAAACATGTTCCTTTGTATGACATCACTAAATAATACATTTTGATTTATTATGAGTCACCAACTGTTTTTTTGTCATGTTTTGTGTTTCCCTTTAGTTCCAAACGAATCATAATTTCCTCTCTTTCATAAGTCACGATTTTTAGATTTATTTTCATTACTAAAGGTTCCAATAAAAATTCGAAGAAAACAAAGACCAGAAAGACTAATGCTTAAAGTAGAAATAAATACAAATCACCACGTAAAAAAGAACTAAACTCAGATCTATGGAAAAAGAACGACTAGTTTGTTTATTTATTATTTGCTGAATAGGAACTGGAATCAATAAGTTCGACAAATGTAAAAATTATTCATTGGTTTAAATTATGTACCAAAGCAGACGAATAAAAAATGAAATGTTGTGTTTATGACTTACTTTCAAAGATAGTTCATTGACCGGTACAAATTTCTTTGCAGCAACAGGACCACCGTGTAAGTATGTAACAAACATAATTGTTAGACTGTAATTATGAACCAAAATATAAATGTGCTTTATATTTCTTATATAATAGCGTAGGTCATTTTGTTTTGTAAATATTTTTTTATTATTATCATTAGTTTTATTATCAAAATTACATTTGTAACAGTAGAATGATAAATTAATCAAAGAGAAAATGATTAAATTATTATAAACATTATGATAATTATTATCATAATTTTAATCGTTATTTCTGTTGTCAAATATTGCGTAGTTAAAAAAAAACATAGAAAACATCTTTCGAATGTACATTCAGCTATCTCCACACTGTCGCTTGACTGCACTAGACCATCAGGATGTTCCCCGCCTGGTAAAGTTTGTAATACGAGTGACACCATCCCTAAAGCATGCCCAACAACTGCAACACCAACTATTACAGCAGATCCAAAAACAAAGAAGAGCCACTGTGGAAAGAAGAAGCACAGTCGTCCATGAATTGAGGCAAAGACAAAAGAAGACAATCGTTAAATGTGTCACCTAACAGTTAAGACACAAATAAAAATTAATCAATCAAATTTTGATTTGTTATATGCCATAAAAAATATATATATTTAAAGAATTCGTTATCTGTTGAATCTTACGTTTTTCTAGTTTTTTATGATCCTATTACATGTACTATGATGATAAAAAGAGCATAAAAATCTGAGACAAAAATTATATTATATATAAAACCAGCCTTCGAATTTAAAATTAATGACAGGCGTTTTGTCTCCTTTTTCTAGTGTCGATAACAAAATACATACAACAACCTTACAAACATTTAGTTCACCGAGAGTCTTTTGGTCACGTTTTAAATTAATTTAAACAACAACTTTAGACTTTGTATCTGTTTGAAACTCTTTTGAAGCAGTATTCATTGTACATAATGTTAATTAATGACACTCTTAAAGTCAGTTATTTGGGAGACTGTTTATGACAAGAACCTGATGTTCAGTGGTTGTCGTTTGTTAATAAGGTTCATAAGTGTTTCTCGTTTTTTTTAAATTTTTTTTTTAACTAAATTAGACCGTTGGTTTTCTTGTTTGAGTGGTTCTACACTAGTCACTTTTAAGTAGCTTGCTTTTCGGTGTGAGCCAAGGCTCCTTGTTTAAGACCGTACTTTGACCTTTTGTGGTTTTCTTTTACAAATTGTGACTTGGATGGAGAGTTTTCTCAATGGCACTCATACCACATCTTATATCTTCTTACATTTTCATGTTTTACAATGAAAGAAGATATGAAGGTATGAGAGTTTGAAAAAGAAATTATACTGTGAACTCCTAATCATGCGTTGAATTTCAATTTTTCGCCGAATTTGTAGGTTCGGATGAGATACACATTTAAACGTTCAAGCAATGACAAGTTATTTAAAAGGTTATGACCAAAATTATTCAAAACCACGAAATCAAATATCAACGAAATAAAAACATGTAAAATACAAGTTTTTTAATCTATGAAAATTGATACCCACGAAAATAAATAAATGAACCTCAATTGACATTATTTCACTTTGTGAAGGTGTCCATTTGATGTATTCAAACATCGGTCTATCTTCTTAATAATTACCGGCTATACCTTTGACATTTAACCTAAATATCAACACAAAATGAGGTGAATATATTCAAACATTTTAGGATTTACGTAATTATTTGCATTTCTTACCATGATTGTATTGAAAGAAAACTGCTGGTTGCAAGGTATATTTAGCTATTGAGTCAAGATTTATAAAAACCTTTCGGAATTTCGAGTTCTCAATTATTCTTCAAATTCATAGTTTATTTTTCCTTTTTAGTATGTTTTATACAAGTGTAATAAATGAGTGTTTTAAAAGCGCGTCTGGTGTGCAAAATTTTAATCCTCGAATCTATGATGTTACAACCACTGGGTCGATGCCACAGTTGGTAGGGGTTTCGCCCCCAAGGGTTTCGTCAGCCCAGTAATCAGCACCTCCTTTTTGACATGGATTATCATTGATATGATCATACTTATAAATTTACTGTTGATAAAATTTGATTAGAATTTTTAGTAATGTTGCAGATTTTCTACTTCATGAATAGATTACTTAAGCTGTATGTGGCAAAACCTTTTCTTAATTTTGGGTCCTAATGCTCTTCAAGTTCTTAGTTTAATCGGCATGTTTTAACGTTTGTGATTCGATTGTCACTAATAAGTCTTTTTGTAGACGAAACACCTGGCGGTCAAAAGTTTAATTCTGATGCCTATGATAATTTTTTTCATAGAAGAAGACGTATATATAAAAATTAGAAGTTGTGATATGATTGCCAATGAGACCACTCTCCACCACTTACCAAAAAATTAACAAATAATAGTCACCTAACGGTCTTCAACAATGAACAAAACACATACTATATATTCCAACTGTTGTAACAACAATTTTGTCCTCTTTTCATCGATTGTGACCAACATAACTAAACTTATCACCGGACTTGTACTAACATGAGCAATAGGGCGGGTACCACATGCAGAGTATGTATCAATACGAAAGTTTTTTGCTTAGATTGGTAAGCATATCATTTTTGGTTAGATCGGTAAGCATATCACGGGTGAGTTGCATGAATGTGGGTTTGGTTTCATCGATCTTTGAAATAATTGAAAGCTTTATTTATCGATTAGTAATTATTGCAGATTTCGTAAAGACATTACTGTCTTCTCAGTAATAAAAATATCGATGAAACTGTAATAGAGGCTAGCATTGCTAATCAGAACGGCATCATCTAATAGTAAGTATAAGTACAAACATTAGAAGTGATCTAACCGAAAATGAATATCGATGTAATAAAATGTCAAATTTGACTGAGGGCACACTATTTTATATATTTGTTAAAACGAAAAACAACATCCTACACAACACTACATAGGTCACACAAAAGTAGGCATCACAAATCCACAAAATAACCATGGATTGGCACAAATACTTTAAAAGGGTAAGCAGAATATACATGTTGCGCCTGTTTAATTGATCATGGAAAATGTTGACATAGCAAAGACATTGACATTAAGCTGCAATACTTGTTGAATTTTTCAGACGCCTAGAACAAATAAACTCATCAGAGATACTAATACTAAGATTAAAGTCATTGCTTCTTTTTCTATTCATTGATAGAGCTAATCTGTACTACAGAGCTCAAGGCATGGGCAAAAAGCTTAAATCTTTCTAAAAAAAAGACTAATGGTAATGCTTAATCAAATCAAAATCATCAGTGGACATTTCAATGTCCTGTTAGATCATAGTTTCAAAGACTGTTGGACAAAGCTTGTCTATTGTATATTAGTTTAACGCAATTGTGCGTCTCTTGAAGTTAATATAGCGGGTTCTTATGCTTTTTCACTTAGGTGATCATTTTAGTTTAGTTGGTTCTACATTCCGCTTAAAAAATCTTACCCTGATATATCAGCTAGTGTTTCAAACATTAACCATATCATTGTCAGTGTCTACCCTACAACCCTATGCATCACTAATTTGACCCAGGAGTTTGCCTTACAGGTAAAAAAAATGGCAACGGTAGTATACCGCTGTTCAAAAGTCATAAATCGATTGGGAGAAAACATATCTGGGTTACAAACTAAAACCGAGTAAAACACATCAACTATAAGAGAAAAACAACGAAATAACAGAACAAAGAAGTGCAACGAAAAACAAACAACAAAGCAACATTAATAGAAACGAACTATTAGATTACAACTGCCATATTCCTGATTTGGTACAGGACATTTTAAGAAAATTGGTGCGTTGAACCTGGTTTTGTGGCTAGCCAAACATCCGCGCTTTATGGCAGTGTTAAATATACCGCTAAAATGACAACACTACGTGACGGGAACACAGAACAAATAAATGAAAACACAAAAGACAGAGAAATACTTAAATAAACAATATAATACATGTAGTACATTTCGACATGTCAACCTCAGAATAACAATGAATAACTAAAATGATGTAGGACAGTACACAAAAACAGCTTAATAGAATTACGAAGTGTGTATCTGTAACACGAACTCTACAAAAAAGTAGAGTCACATGTAAATTTTTAAAAAAATGGATTTAAATCAAGAATAGGTTTTAATCATGTTATTTGATTGATTTTATAACAATTATAAGAATATTAATATAGAAATGTGTTAGTAATAGTGCAACCAAACATGTCGATCTTTCTTCCAAATCAAACTGTGAAAAACAAATAAATCCTGTGCACACAGTTGCTCCAAACTAAAATCCTACAAATGAATCGGTTTATTAATTATCTTTACTTTAACATACGAATAGAAAATAAAAGATAGAATCCAATCACAAACGACAAGACACAAAACAATATCCGATCAGAATTACAAATAAAACTCAGTAACTAAATACATGAACGCTGGATAAACAAATACCGAGACACGTCTTATAGCAATATGAATTAATACTCAGTAAAACCGTAATATTCGGGAATAGGTCACGTTCAATACTTAAATGACTATACTACGTACATGGTAAACCACAATCTAAGACGTGGAAACATGTCCTTAGTTAGTTTAGACACAGGCACATCGTATGGATCAATCAATTCGTGATAGTGTCCATAAAATGTACGTAGTGTCATTTTTAATCTTTCCTCCTCATAACTTTGTGGGAGTTTCTGCGTAAGGAGCACACTCCTGCATATGAAGTCCTATATGAAGGCTTAAAAATATATACGTTTGTTAAGTACGAGTAAATACATTTCGACTGCCTCTTGAATTCTCTCTTAGTGCTGGTCGTACTCAACCTGTTATGCACCAATCATTCGCACATCATTCATACACTTTTTAAATGATGCACTTGCACATGTTGCAGATAAATTGCAAAGTCTAAATAATCGCTGACTGATTTATATTTTGTTCCAGACATGTAACATTTATCTAGCTGCTTGATATATGCGCACTTATACAACAATAATCCCTTTGATATTTTTTCTCCGAATATATGCCGAGATATATTTATGAAGTAGCCGATTTTTTTTAGTGTGTGTATGGAAAAGTCGCTTCTTCTTTTTTTAAATCTAATTTTGTTGAATTTTTATTTATTTTCATTAACTTTTACATTAAAGTTCAAATTGTCATTCTCATTATAACCTTTTGTTGCCTTTTCATGTCCGATCAACGACCCATATTAGTTGGTTTCTTCATATAAAAAAGAAGATGTAGTATGATTGCCAATGAGACAACACTCAACAAGAGACCAAATTACACAGTAATTGACAACTATATTATCAGCGTACGGCCTTCAACAATGAGCAAATCCAATACCGCATAGTCAGCTATAAAAGGACCCGAAATGACAAATGTAAAACAATTCAAATGAGAAGAAACAACTAACGGCCTAATTTATGTAAAAAAGAAATAAACGAAAAACAAATATGTAACACATCAACAAACGACAACCACTGAATTACAGGCTCCTGACTTGGGACAGGCACATACATACAGAATGTGGCGGGGTTAAACATGTTAGCGGGATCCCGACCCTCTCCCCCCTTACCTGGGACAGTGGTGTAATAGTACAACATAAGAACAAACTATAAAAATCAGTTGAAAAAGTCTCAACTCATCCGATGAGATACA